GTAAAAATCAAATTCACAGATAGAGCCTGGTCAGTGCTCTGCATATGGCTTAGTAAGTCAAAAATACACAACAATGGCTGTACAGATTCAGAGTTAACAGTTTTGGCACGGTTTACACTGTTTACGTTCAGTGCCGCCATCTTGGAATGCTAACTATGTGTGCTAACTATATGTTGGTCTGCTGGTCTCTTTACTAGTGGAAAATTCGAGTGAAGGGCATGCTCCACTAAAATTTTCTGACTTATCCAGAAACACACTGTTAATGCATTGCATATCTGTCAACTGATTGGCAGATTAGATATCTACATTAATGGACCATTGTAACATTAATTGAACATTGTAACTTAGCTGTAATGTGAATACAGCTAAGTTTAGCTATTTTGCTACAATTCTTTCTTTCAAAGTGATCATTTACCCAATGGAAAAAACATTTCAGGTGTCACCGAATAAAACAAAATGTTCACTTTTTAAAACATTGTCCACATTAGAGTGACAAAGGAGAATAAACCTTTTACTGGCTTGTGATTGAGTTGCTGTATGAGTGTATAATGTCCTGTTGTTTTACAGTTATGTGAAGGGGTTAGAAGGGTCTCAACAAACCCTTTAGTCTTTACCTTCACAGAAGGTGGCTAAGCAACATTTAATGTTATTCTTAACAGGTGCAAGGTCTGGAATAATGCTTAGGTGGGTGGTCTGGGCATTATAACAAGCTGATCAGGGTTACCAGTAGGGCTCGGTATCGTCACTGATTTCTAGAATCGATTCAATTCCGATTCACAAGGTCCCGAATCGATTTGATCCACGATTCGATTCAAATGATTCGATTTAAATCTGGGAAATTTTGCCTCAGACAGTCAGAAATGTTACAATTCAGATCAGTACATTTGCATATTTTTGTATCTATAAAAGGGAAGCTGACACTCGTAAGACTTTATCAAAGGTGTGAGCATCACAGCACATGCCTTTGTGTCAAAGCAGCTGAAGATAAAACACAGAAAAACATGAAGGTGATTTTCTTTGCCTGGGATTTTATAAAAAATATTCTGCAGTACATCAAAAACGAAAGAAACACATTAACCAACTTATGAACATTACCTCTGAAGTTACAGAGGTTTTATCAGAGACACTGCTAAGCATTTTGCATAATTTTAAAAAGTTTAAATTTGTTCAGTAGCCCATTGAACAGCAGAAATTAGGTTTTCTTTTCGGAAGTAAGTAAAAGGGAAAAAAACAGCGGCCGACAGCGCTGTAAATTACGGTAGACTTGTGCGTAACAAGCAAGCAAATAATGCAGAAAACAGATTTTTAGACGGGAAACTGTTCTTGAAGTGTACTGTGTGTGTGAGAGAGAGAGGGGGAGAGCTGTGCATAAAGTGTGATTTTTATCATGGTAGAAGCAAAACAGCAAAAGTCAGAGTGAATTCATGACGATGTTTATGTGAAGCGTAGTTTGGATCTTCTTTTGCTGCTGGTTCCTAAGTTAATTTGTAAATTTTTGTAGTAAATTGTAAATATTGTAGAACTTTTCTTCTGTCATTTAATGGTCGGGCATTGTACAGCTACAAGCATTTCACCCCCATGTCATACTGTGTATGGTTGTGTGTGTGTGACAAATAAAATTTGAATTTGAATTTGAATTTGGTTCAGTCAGTATTGTTTGGAGAGAGATAAAACTAACAGCTTTAGAATCAGCGAAAAAATGACGTAAACACAAAGCGCGGAGCCGCCAAAACATCAGAATCGGCGAGCTGTTGGCTTTCAGCCTTGACCGTGTCCCTGCCGTCGGGTGAGAAAGGCGACATCTCACTGATTCTGATCTGCGGATCCGCGCTTTGTGTTTACGTCTTTGTGCAGTTCCTGCTCTCATTTACTGTTTTAGCTGATTGGTGGTTGTTGAAATTTTGTGAGGTTTCACCTGAGATTCTGGCATTTTGGGCAAAATAAATTTATATTAAAAAATCGATTCAGGATTTAATGAATCAATATCACGTTATCCAAGCCAGAATCGATTTTAATCGATTACCAAAACCCACCCCTAGTTACCAGCTTCAATGGTAAGTGGTTGTAATGTGCAAATTTCTGTTTGCATAGCACACTGGTGGTTAGGCTAGTTATCATGGCTTATTAAAGAGAGTGGAACTAGAGGGTGATGACTTTCGATGCCGTTGATGCAGGGATGTCAAACTCATTTTAGTTAATGATTGACACCCCTGCCTTTAGGTAACAACATCCACTTAAAACTTAAAGTTATAGTTGCAGTACTGTAAAGGTGCAAAATTGTGTCCATGTGAGTTGGGAATACAATCCGTGAAGATATTTCTGTGCTTTGTAGTTGACACAACTGGAAATTGTATCTTTGGGAAATGTTTTGCTAGGGTACTTACAGTAAAATAGGGCTATTCATTCAAAGGTTTGCGTGAGTTCATGTTAGTGTAAACTTAAGTCTCCCTTTCCACGCCACGTTTGTCCCTCAACCTTTTTGACCCTTCTTTTGTCAGTGCGCTCACAGTCTAAACTTATTTTGAAATGCTGATAAGTGAAAGCCTTTAACTGGAAATGTAGACGCTGTAGTCCCGTGGGGGCTTTCATTCTGCACACAGGAGAAATCATGGGATGATTCATGACTGCAGCTAAATCATTCCTAATGATTGTGGCAACACAACAGTCACCCGTCTGTCGGCTGGTATGCGTTGCCAAGTTTAATTTCCTTTATTTCAGGATGTACAAACCTTGATTCCAGCCAGTGAGGTTATTATAACTCGGACATTTCCCTGGTTTTCCGTAACTGATTACCTGTTTTAATAAAGAGTCATTGTCTGATTTCCTTGTGTTTATAACCTTGGCTCTGCTGGCATTTTGTGAGTCCTTTAGGGTCAGAGCAAAGTGAGTAAAATTACAGCAGACAGTTTACCTTTTTACGGAGCCCTGCAGAGGACATGGGAGAAAAAAAAAACTAAGACGGACTTTTGCGAGATCTCGCAAAACAAACTCGGGATCTCGCAAAAGATCTCGCAAAACATTTTGAATTCCAACAATGGCGGCAGCTACTTAGTTGTAATATTACTCTTTCTGGGTCACAAAATACACTTTTAAGATATTTTGAGGCGTGAATGTAGTTGTGTAAACGTCAGATATCTGCTCGGTTTACAAGACATCACATATTTGCAAAAGTGCTCCGACGTTTTCGGAGATGTATGAAACTTTTGCGAAATCTTGCAAAAGTTTTGCGAGATCCCGAGTTTGTTTTGCGAGATCTCGCAAAACTTTTGCGTCTTAATTTTTTTTTTCTCCCATGTCCCCTGCGGGGCTCCATACCTTTTTCAACAGTGGTTTGAGGTAAATATGGGTTCAATTAAGTTTTAAAAGCACTAATATTGATGAGATTTAATTGGCATTTTGTTTTTATTTTGTGTTGGTATTTAAATTTTGTTTTTAATATTTTCTTTTTTATTCTCATGTATTTTTATTTCTATGCTCCCCACTTTGGTCAGTGTTGCTGCTTTAGAAATAAAGATGACTTGGCTGAACTTTAAAACCTCTGGAACAGTGTTCAGTTAAAATGCGATGAACAAGCTCAAAACCCTTTGTTAAAACTTTACCAAGGCTAAATTTGTTTGTTTGATGTTTGTAAACATGCCCATGTGTCCTGTAATGAAGTTTAACTTTATAAAGGGATCTTAATGAAAGCTGCTTAGCTTGCTAGCATGGTGGTTACCATGATAATAGGGCTATTAATTAAATTCAGTATGTTTAAACCACCAACTGAAAGAAGCACCTTAGCTTGCTAGGATGCTCGTCAGCATGCTAATACAAACATAACAAAGAGGGTTAGCTTGTTAGAACAAACTCAATAAAGATGCTTAGCTTTTTAGCTGAGAGGCTATTAACAAACAAGACACCTTCATTTATTTATTTTGACTACTGTTTCAGGTTTTGACTTGTCATTTAATTAAATAGCTTTGTTATATCTTAAGTATAGTACAGTATAGCATTTTGCTGAATGATATTCAATATTAGACCTGTTTAATGTTTGAATGTTTTCTTTTTTGTTTAGCTTGTTAGCATGCTAACATGTAGTAATATTGCTTGGACTTTATCCTGAGGTGAACATAAATGCTATATTTCTTAATCTCTCCTGTCATTTCACTTTAAACTCTTAAGACTTTGTTTAAAACATGGTTGGAGCCACTATAAAGTGTGGACTACTGCATTTTTATTGTTTTTTTGTTATTAACCAAAGTGACCAAAATTGAGCTCTAGGGTGGAGTGCTGAAGTTATCAGATAATGTTAGCTAGCTTAGTTAGCAAGGTGTAAAAGGTGCTGTTTGCTAAAATCATTTAAATCATAGCCTAATAGATATTTTGGACACCAATAAATCTGTATCGGCAAATAATTTTTATTTGTTGCCTGATAAATGAAAAATTTAAAAGTAAGAAATATGAGCATCTCCCTGTTAAGGTGTTTAAGAAATCAGCCGAGTCAATTTAGGCTAAACATAAAGGTGTAATCCACAACTTGTTGTGATTGTAAAATTAATTGATTTTTAAATGCATTATCGCATTATTTTAGTAAGATAAAAAAAATACAAGTATCAGATTTATAAAACACCAAATATAGGTATCGAGATTGAAAATTATGTATCAGTTGGGCTCTGGTTTAAATCACATGGAGATCAGCACAGTATGTCTGTCGGTTATTTAGATAGTCCAACTAGTGCCAAAGTTTAACATTACTTCTAATGAAAACCACTCACAATTATACCTGACATGTTGTTTGCTTTTTTTGATTATAGGGTCTATAAAGGTTACAGCAGTTTCAGTGACATGGACAGCAAGTGCAATCACACACCCTCCAGAACTAACACAGGAGCCTTGCCTGAACTGCCAAGCAGAAAATGACTCAGAGAAATGGAATCAGCGGGACGAGTGATCGCATCCTCCACTCGGAGGCCTCCAAGGTCTTCCAGCAGGCCAATGGTATGGACCATGAGAAAATCCAGGAGGCTGATGATTGTGAATTGGAGGAGAGGGGACAGGAAGGAGGGCGCCGAGTATCCGTGGCTGTAACAGGAGCAGTCGAAGCTCCAGATGGCGGCTGGGGCTGGATGGTGCTGGTTGCCACTATACTTGTCCTGGCTTTGACACTGGCATTTCCCTCCTGCGTGGGAATCTTCTACACTGACTTGCAGAATGAGTTCCACGCAACCAACAGCGAAACCTCCTGGGTGCCCTCCATCATGACGTCAGCGCTTCATGCAGGAGGTAAAGCTAGAAGACCAGGAAATAAACCAGACCCAAGTTTTTCCAAGCCTAATTTACTCATTTTGGTGTAATTTAAGAGAATAATAACTAGAATTTACCATACTACTGAAGTTGCCCTTTAATGCCCCCTGGCCTGAGGGTAGTTTTTAGTTTGCAGTTGCTGTTATTGTTCAGGGAAAGTATGAAACCAGATAGAGAGAGAAACTGAGGATGCTTTAACCTGTCTTGCTGTGTGATGTTGATTTAAAGGTTATTCCATGAGAAGCTGCAGTCCTGTCATTTCCCACAGCCTCAAGTGTTTCATTGACAGAAGAAATAATGCAAACCTTAGAGTGGCTATTTTCCTTCTGAAGTCTTCATTCCTGTGCTGATGAAAAGTAAAACTCAAAAGAAGCTCATCCTATCATAAATCAAAACTTTCAGATTTATTAGATTAGTTTAAAATAGCTGATTTAGCAATAAATTGTCACTTTTAATAGCAGTTAAACAAAACTAAACTGACGTACTTAGTCTGGCATGATTATCTAAGGTCTAATGTTTCCTGACTTTCAGAAGATATTACTGTTGACTTATTATTTACCGTGATCCTCTCTGTACTGTGTAGGGTCATGATAGACACTGGTTACCAAGAATAAAATGTACTGTATATAAATTATGAATATAGCCACGGTGACATCACCCACATTTTACATTCTCTTTTCGCACCCCCAGGCCAAACGGGTCAGAGAGGTCCAACAAAAACTCAACAGCGAGGTACTAGAAGTATAAATCTCAGTTATATTCTCCATAGGGATGTTGGTAATAAGCCATAATGTTGTATCCATCCAAAGTAGATTTACTATGAGTATGACATTGTAAAACTATAGAAGTCTGTATATATCATCCTTAATCCTGTATACAGATGGATCGGGTATAAAGCAAATCAACCCACAGCTGTTAGGTGGAGGAATCCATCCACAGGGGCCAAAACTGAGAGACAGAGACTAAAATCAGGGACCAAATTATAGCACTTTTTTTATTTCTGATCTTCATATCTTCATCATCTTCATATCCGCAGATTGTAGATTTATGACAAGAAGGCGTCACACAATTATTCTTATTCTGTTGGCTTCCTTTTAAATCCATCCAAAAACGGAGATTAGTTTGGAGATTTAACCCCTGGAAACACAAGTTGGAAGGATTATGGTCCTTTATCTATGTCCAAGAGTCCTTTCTTCATTAGAAAGATTAGAAATAAGTTTTATGTGATGAGCGGGTGCACATAGTGCAACTTCTTATCTGTCTTATAAGTTTTGAACTGTCAATATTTAAAATGCTAGAATAAAAAGATAGTGGAAATCAGCCCATGGTTTATCTCAGTGTTATCGCAATGGTTGGATAAAGTTCCTCCTCTTTACAATTTCTTCACTCCCAAATAAATTTCAACAACATTTATCAAAAAAAAGTAATAAGCATCATAGTTTTTATTTGAGATGAGGGAAGAGTTCACACATTCAGTATAAAATGCAATTATATGCGAGCGTTTGATCAGAAGCAGCCTGTGGCCTACAACACCTGAACAACTGGTAACTGCCTGTTTAAGTGCACTCCTATGCAACTTAAGTTCCTCTCCTTCAAACTTCTTCCTTCCATTTTCTGAAAATACAGCACACTATTAGCAAAAACCCTTCATAAGGGCCATTTAAAGTCCTCACACGTTTACTGTTTACTCGAACAACATTACATCACGATGACTGTTAAGTATGAACAGGCGACATGCATTGAACAAAACGCAGACACAGAACGTAACATCCCTTTCACGGGGGGATAGTAAAATGAACATAATATATAAGCTAGTCAAAATAATCGGGATTTATAATGAATCTTTAAAAAACCCATACAGATAGTGATAATTGTTGTATGTGGCAATATTAGATTGACCGATAACAACGAGATCAACAATACAGGAGCTTTTGATGAAGAGGAAATTAGCTTTTATGTTATTTATGAAATGTAAAAGCAGAACTAGAGCATAAAAATGCCATTTGATACACATCAGAAAAATATGGGCTTGGGAAAGCTTTAACACAGCAGCACTTCAAGTTTATTTTTTAAGGTTTACGATGAGGATGTTATGCAGTAATGTCAGACTCATCCTTTAATGCTGCTCTGAACAAACCAGAGGTAAATGTATGTTTTGGTCTAAGATGTACACAATAATAGTTGTTTTGTTTTTTCGCATCCATTTCTATTCAAACAGTCAAGATGTGACTTGTGCAGACTTTTAGCTTTTTTAGAGGCTCAGAGCTAATTGGACAGGCTTAGGTTTATCTCCAGTAAATTGCATGAGGGAGCCTTGTCCCAGGCCTGATTTGTGAGCTTAAGAAGTGATTCATGAGTTATTAAAACTGTAACTTTAGAATAAACACAGTCTAAAAGATTCTGATAAAGAATAGCGTGATTAAATTTTTTTTTAATGGCGCAAAAACTGAAGTTTTAAACATGTTAGTTCAGTGATTTTTTCCCCCATTAATATCTAGCAGATCTGCTGTTTAACAACAGAGATAGGCCGTGTTAAATTTGACACCCCTGTTAGTGACCTTTAAACAGTGTACACTGCTGTATTTGCTCAAGCTTTCAAGTATACACAGTGAGATTTTTTTCATGGCAGGCAGGTGAGTCAGGATGATGTGTTAGAGATTGAGAAATCTACACACAAAAGGTAGTGTAAGATGAAATCTAATCTCACTGGCAGGCAGGTGAGTAAGAAACAGATGTGTCATCTTGTGCACAGTGTAAATGAATGAGCAGACATATTTTCAGTCATATGTTCGGTTCTTTTGAAGGTCATCCAGTCGGTGCAGATTACAAGTTATGTGAAATGTGCTGGAGGATTAAGGCCTTTGCCCACTCGGGTTCTGGTATTAAACTAAGAGCATTAAATTTGATCCACAGGTCCCTTTTGTAGCATGTTGGTGGAGAAACTTGGCTGCCGAGCGACAATCATGTTGGGAGGGGTCCTGAGCGGGCTTGGAATGGCTGCCAGCTCATTTACCCAGTCAATCACTGAGCTTTACATCACCGCCGGGGTCATTACAGGTCAGCAAGCACTCAGTAGATTTATTATCCCAGCACACATTTCATTGCCATGGGTACACACAGCTACCTGCCGAGCATCAAAGGGCAGGCACAGGTAGAGTTCAGCTGTGCCGAATATTTGTTTGGTTGTTGTAGACCAAAGCAGACAGATTTTGGACAACTGTAAATGCATCATTACATCTTTTATATCACTTAAATTTGACATACAGACATTCAAAAGAAGTTAAAACTCTAATTTCACTTCATAACAGCCTTGGTCTAATTTCCATAGTTGTGGCTGTTCATTTTTGTGGTAAACTCCTAAAGATACAGATACAAAAATTTTACTGCTTTATCTTATTTTTTTAAAATGTTATCATTGGTACTCCCTGCATAAAAGGAGAAGCCTTACCCAAGGTACCTCTGGACTACTTCCATGTCTTTCCTCTTGGACTTATGCATCTGCAAGTGTTTCAAAATATAAACCTTTCATCATGATTTAATTTTCTGGGAGTGGACGAATTCGCAGTAAGTCAGATCTGTATAGTAGCACAGATGTTGAGTGACTTGTCTGGGGCCAGAATATGATATAAGAGGTTGGTGGACCATCTCTGAAAGTATTTGTCTTAAACTAAATAAATCGTCTAAGATAAAACATGTTTTCCATAGTGGAATATGGTTTCATAGAACCGAGGTTGCTCATGTAACCATGTTTCCTGGTCATGTTTCTGTCCTAATGAACTACACTTCAAGCTTTGTCATAGCTGGAGTATAAGTTCTCATCACGTGCCCTAATCCTAAAAATGAAAGCTAAATGTTTTAGTTTGAGGTTTGCAGTTAAATCACCGCACATGGTCTCACAATGGTCAGTACATGACTTCTACCAGCTGTTGTCCAGAGGTGCACAAGGAGGTTACCTTGAAGGGAGGTCTGACAAATTTAGAATAATAAATAATAAAAATAATAGAATAAAAATAAAAGCATTAGCAAAAAACATTTAGTGTTACTCAGGATAGATTAAACATAATAGAACTTTTCTACATTTATACTTTATAATCCATTAGCACTATCGCTGATAATAAAAATGTCACTCATCTTTCATTGTTTCAGGTCTTGGTTTCTGCTTCAGCTTCCAACCAGCTGTGACAATCCTGGGACACTACTTTGTGCGTCGCCGTGTATTTGCCAACGCCATGTCCTCCACGGGCACCGCCTTGGGACTGTGCGCTCTGCCTGTCCTGGGAAACTACCTCCATACAGAGTACGGTTGGAGAGGAAGTTTTCTCATTCTGGGGGCCGTCCTGCTGAACTGCTGTGTGTGTGGAGCTGTGATGAGGCCCCTCCAGCCCAAAAGGCATCGTGGCCAGCCGCTGATGAACCACGGACCTCCTCCGCCAGATGAGAATAGTGAGAGCAAGAAAAAAGGGAGGGCGAGGACGATTTGGAGCTCCATGTTAGCTTTCCTGAGCAAACACATGGCCTTCAATCAGTTCTGCAATAACTTGCGCTACCGCGTGTACTCCATCGGCATCACGTGGACGATGCTCGGGTTTGTGGTACCTCTGGTGTATCTGGTTCCCTACGCCACAGCAAATGACATGGAGCCGAGTCAGGCTGCGTACCTGCTGTCCATCCTGGGGATCGTCAACATCGTGGTGCGGCCACCGTTTGGCATCGTCTTTAACATGCCATGGTTCAAAGGGCGACACGTTTACGTGTTTTCTGCAGCTTTGCTTGTCAATGGGCTCAGTAACAGCATCTGCTGCATCGGGCCCAGCTTCCATGTACTGCTGGCTTACGTGGTGATCTACGGGCTTTCCATGAGCGTGGTGGGCTCCCTGATGTTTACTGTCCTCATGGATGTAGTGGAGATGAGCTGCTTTCCCTCAGCCCTTGGCCTCCTTGCTGTCATGGAGAGTGTCACGCTGCTCATTGGGCCTCCACTGGCAGGTAAAGGAAATATAGATATTATCATGAGTGAGAGATGTGAAGAGAATGTAGGTCACACTTTTTTATCCCATGAAACCATAACCATAAAGCCAGTAAAAACCCTGGAGGTATAAATATGCAAAATAACTTTTGCCTGTAGTCTCTCTTCATGTTTTCTGCATCACTGGCTTAGATTTTGCATGATGTATGGGACTGGGGGAACAGCTAAAGAGCTGCTTAAAGGATTGGCTTAAATTTTTTCAGGGACTTCAAGGCAACCTCATGAACTCTGGAACAGGTTTGCTCAGGTTTATACTGGCCCTAAGGAGATTCCATCTAAGAGCACCATAGTATAAGGGATGGGGAGAAAATCCAAAGCCCTGTTAATACAATTAAACCTTCAGACTGAAGCTAATTTATGGTCTCAGGTAGACAGAAAGTATTTCCTCTTTGTGTTACTGTGAACTTTGTGTAGTATATATTCCAGACAAACAAAAGGAAGGACTCTGACACCTTTTTGTTTGGCTGCTGGAGCCTCATAACAACTTGAGACCTTTACCAGTAAGAGTCTGAGTGATGGAGCAATGCCAAAAATGCATGACTGTTTACAAGTTGCCAAAAAAGGGGAAAATACTTTCTATAGAAGTTTATCTTCAGTGACTTAAAAGTCCTTTCATACCCACTTTGGCCTTTCTCAGGACTTCACGTCACTTAAAGTTATTGCTTAGTTTAAAATGGATTTCGAGAAAAAAAAAAAGACCAACAGGCTACAAAATCAAACATATCTTTCTAAAACTGACCAATCAACAGTGGGCCGCTCAACAGTGGGCCGCTCAACAGTGGGCCGCTCAACAGTGGGCCGCTCAACAGTGGGCCGCTCAACAGTGGGCCGCTCAACAGTGGGCCGCTCAACAGTGGGCCGCTCAACAGTGGGCCGCTCAACAGTGGACCGCTCAACAGTGGCCTAAATGTGACCTTCCTTTTGAAATTAAAAATGAAACTGTTATGGTTAGATGCAACACATGACGAAATCTGAATCTGGTCTGTCTGGAAAATGTGATATAAAAATCAGTTGGTCTTAACCTCCTAAGACCCGAACTCTTCCACGGCATGCATTTTTAATTTCTCTTTGATATTTTGGCATATTGGGGTCTGATGAATGTAAAAACAAAGAATTACCAGATTTTTTTTTTTTTTACCTTATTTTTGTTTTTATGAAAAATAAGAGCCACATATGGCTAAAATTTAAAATTTTGATAGAACAGTAGCAGTATAATGTCCTCGTAAGTGGATATCAGGCCCTTGTACAGCAAAATAGAGTATTTTGGTCTAAATAACCCAAAATGTGATGTCCACATATGTGGACGCCAGGTCCTAGGAGGTTAAGCAGGCTCAGTTATTCCCAGGTAACCAGTATCATAGTTCAGACAGGGCAGGTGTAACAACAAAAGGTGCGTTTGATGAAGTAAATGTGTTGCTCAATACAGGCATGGAAACAATCCAAATGTGAAATGACAATGAGGCTGGGTAACGGCAGAAGCATAAAGAGAAACTCTAACAAAGGTAAACATAAGATTAGATAAGCACACTCAGATTAGAAAAGGTGGAGAAACCAGACACAAGAACCAGAAACGCCACAGAAACATCATCAAACCCCGATCTGAGGGGTGAAGCAAATTCAACATAGCCAGGCTTTCCTGGCAGAAGCTGATTTGACAAAAAATAAAACTCCCGTAAGAATGAGCGATTATCATGCCGACTGCTTCACTCTATATTCACATAAAAGTTTGTAATTCAGGCATCATTTAGCTGTTTTCTTTCACTAAACGGACAGATTCAGCGCCGCCTACTTCAGTCAGAGAAATGATCAGATAATGAAGATCTGTAAAAAATATAAAATATATGATGGGTAGCACAGGTGCTCCACTCACACAGGTGCGTGATGCTGCGGAAAAGCATTAGTGATTCGTAGTTTGCCGATGATTTTAAACCACAACTCCAGACCAGGTTAACAGTTCAGCTTAAGATCAAGCCAGGCTAAAAGAGCACTGTACTGAAAACTCGTCTCTCTAATTAGTTAATCTCGTGGCAGAAATACTTTCAAAATAAAAGTGGAGGCCAAAAGAACGCAAACTCAAACATATGACAAAAACATGATAGTTTGAGTCTTTGGTGAATTTTCATCCATTTTTTGCACCAGGTTGTTTCTTTATGGTTATTTTTTTCATCTATCCTCATGTTTCTTATCAAGTTACAGTGCACTGACCTCTATTGATCAGTGGCAGAGCTTTGTTGCTGTAGATAAGTCAGTTTAAAAGCCAGCAAGTCAATATTAATCCAGCTCCATCTAAATTCCTGCTCCATACTCATCTTTTCCTTTTATCTGGTTCAACCTATAAAAAAACAAAAAAGTAAAGCCTTCATGTGTGATTGCATACGCTTCAGTGCAAATGTTTTCACATGTGTGTTATGTGAACGGCTGAAATGAAGGAGGAGGCGGCACTGCAGGGTGTTGAGGCCATTTAGCACAGAGAGAAAAACAGTTTGTTCTTCTCAGTGGAGAAGCGAGCTCGAGCTGCAGCAGAGTGAGAAAAGGGCAGAGGCTTCCTCTCCCTCTCAGGGCTGCTTCCGTCTCAGATGACAGTTATGCTTAGACTGTTTATCTGGCTGCTTCTCCAGCTGAACAGTGACATAACCACAGAGACAAGTCACGGCAGGATTATGTTGCTTGTACATCTGACCTGATGTGCTGCTGATTATAACGGGGAAAAGGATTTTCCGAGGTCACGGTTATGGAAGATAAACACAGTTTGAAAAGATGTCTTTTTTTTCTTTTTCTTTTTTTTTGGTGGAGTCAGAATATATTATGCTGATTTGAATAGAGAACTTGCCTGTGAACAAATATCACACTGACCTCTAATAATAATAATAATAATAATAATAATAATGGATTGCATTTATATAGCGCTTTTCGGGGCCCTCAAAGCGCTTTACAATTCCACTATTCATTCACTCTCACATTCACACACTGGTGGAGTCAAGCTACAGTTGTAGCCACAGTTGCCCTGGGGATGACAAATGTAAGCTCTGGGTCAGTGATTTTCCACAGGTTTGCGCTTATGAGGACTGCACTATGAAACAAGATTAGTACAACAGATTTAGCCAAGAAAAACCGCCAAGGATTTCTGGACGTCTCTGACGAGAAGCTATCATGAGTCAAAATGCTGACACTGTTGATGTTTTCTTTATTTCCAGGAATCCTGGTTGACAGAACGGGCCACTATTTCCATGTTTTTTTTGCCTGCAGTGCCGTTGTTGCCTCATCCGCCGTGTTCCTTATGGTGTCGTTTTGCTGGCTGGATAAAAAGGAGAGGAAGGCGCTGAATCAGGTGAAGCCACCCACGGCTCCCGACCCGGCGGCACCTACGATTGACATCGTTCCTGGTTGCCAATACAGCAGCGTGTCCACAGAGGGAGATAAAGACAAGGCCTCAGCTAACGGGGCGGAGTATATCACCAGCGTCTGAACCTGCTTACACTGTGTGTCACCTTTTAGCACACGTCACACCTTCGGTCAGACTGTTCTGCAAATGATTCCTAATATTTGCGGCCGCTTGCCTGGTGCGTCAGATGTGTCGAGGTTTATTTTTCTGAAAGATGCCACACATCCTAACATCTGGAGCACCATAAAAGTCAGAACAAATAGTACGAAGAGTAGGGATGGGTATCGTTTAGGTTTTATCCGATACCGGTGCCAAACCGGTACTTTTGAAACGGTGCCGGTGCTCAAACCGGTGCTTAAAGAATGGAGAACACAAAATTGATCCAAAAACCTCTCATGTTCAGCTGTTTTTTTTGTAAAAAGATAACAATGTTAGCCTTTTCTGCAGCTATAGGGCATATATGGTATCATTCTTGGCTGGAAGCAGTGCTTAAACAATGGAAAAAAACACAAACTTTGTCCAAAAAAATGTTTAACTGTTTTCCACTTTTTCTTCGGTCATTTTAGCCTTTTTGGCCAGGGTGAAGGGAGTATCTGCCATCAAACAAGAAGACAGCCGCATGTAGCTATGATGATGTTTGCTAGTTCACCTTACATGCATTAATGTAATAACGTGGTTAGCCTACTCAACGTAAATTACACACGAACAACGTTAAGCTACTCACGCAGAGAAGAAGTGTATCACAGCTCAGAAAAAAAAGCACCGAAATGTGTGCTGCTTTTCGGTCTGGTTACTACCGTTTATGTCAGAACCTACCGGTACCCATCCCTAACGAAGAGTTTGCACTGTTTGACCAAGGTTGCATCAAGAGATGTGCACTTAAAAACCACGACGTGATTGTACTGTTTATTGTCAAATGCTGCTGATTTTATCTACACAATCTATCACACATGAGGTATATCACTCTAATAAGCCAAGATACGTACATAATCCCTCATTAGAGAAATCAAATCTTTAGTAGTTGTTTGCTGGAACAGTTTTTTTTTTTCAATGGTGTGTTAGTGTACGATGAGCTTAGAGACACAGAGAGTAGATACTCTTGAGCTTTGAAACAGAAAGGAAGGGGACGGTGCAGTAATATCAGTGGGAAACATTGTGGTGCAGCAACCTAGTGAGGCCTTATCAAGAGGGACATGTTATGTTTTTTTTCTATTTCCTGTCATGTTACAGTGGTGAATAGTTGTTAAATACAGCCAAAACCAATGACCAAAAGATTTGAGTTTCATCCAGATCTTTCGAACAGTGTTTCCCACACCTAGACTTCACTTGGGTGTGCAACACAGGTATATGTTGCAATCATTTTTTTTATTTTTACAGCCATCTAACATCACTATCAAGCCCCTCACTCTTATTTTGACATTTCAATCGCTGTTAAACAGCTAGCTCTAGTCCTTTCTCTACAGGCAAGCTGGTCAAAGCATTATTCTGACAGGAGGTTGGTACTAGTTCTGCTCTGGAGCTCTTTCACAGCCCCGAGGGGCAGCTCTAGTCGACAGTTGGTCACTAGAGGACATTCGCTCTGTTTGCCTAGGTAACTCTCTAATGTAGAGTTTATGGGCCCTGCTTTGCCACAGGTGCATAAAATCAAGCACCCAGTCATGCAGTCTGCTTTCACAAACATTTGTGAAAGAATGAGCTCAGTGCACTCCAGAGTTGTCCTGTAACAAGATTCCTTCCTAACTATTCCACAGTCAAGTTTAGGTGATATAATTGCAAAGTGGAAAACTTTAGGAACCACAGCAGCTCAGCCATGTGACCACGTACAGTTACAGAATGGGGTTGCTGGGTGCTGAGGCATATACTGCGAGCTCCAAACCTCCCTGGCATTAACATCAGCACAACAGCTGTGCACCAGGAGCTTCACGGCATCTAGCAGCTCCTGTAGGTATAATGTGTAGGTGGCTCAGCACTTCTGTCCACCTACTGCGTCTATCACCTCTCGTATCAGTCTATTCTGCATTCTCACTCTTGTCTCAGCAGTTGCTTTAATCATTGACCGCAAAGTTAAACTTCACAAGAAGTCGCTCGACGTCACTCAATTTCTCAGTCTCTGCTTTCTGTGTGGGCGCCTCTTTGTAGACCATTCCTCTGTGGGATGAGGAACTTTCTTGAGAGCCAGGTGATGGCTCGGTATTTAATGTCTCAAAGTAGGGCTGGGCAATATGGCCTAAAATTCATATCGCGATATAATTTGAAGCATGTGCGGTAACTATGTATATCACGATATATTCTTTTCTTCTGTATAACGTATTTTCCACACTATAAGGCACACTTAAAATCGAGAGTGTGCCTTATGTATGAATTCTGGTTGTGCTTACTGACCTCGAACCGATTTTGGCTGCAGAAATCTGTTAAAAATGTTTTAGTACAACTTTGGTAAGCCGCACTGCTTGATGGATTGTCGGAGCATTACGGCTGCTGTAGTGAGGAGCTTCGCGGAGTAATCTGGGTCCAAAACTCAGCTGCATCCTACATCTATCTTGGCCAAATTTATATTGTTTCTATCGTATATCGTTTCTATCGCCCACCTCTATCTCAAAGTGTGATTGATATTATTTATTTATCAGTTTAGGACGGCGTCCTTTCACCTCTTTCTCAACAAAACCAAGAATAGATTTTTATTCTGTGGGAAACACCATTTCTACTTTAAGTATGATGTTAGAGGGGATAGCCTGAAAGTAGTCTCAAGAACTGAGTTGCGGTTTTGAGCATAGAAGCCCCACCCACTTCAGTTTCCAGCCAATCAGTAGAAAGTTGGCTTACCAGGAGAGGAATTAAAACACCTGGTTTGAGACAGAGGATGAGCTGAGGGGCAGCAGAAAAGCCCACTAAGATAAATGAGGATTATTTTGAATTGTGAATCATGCAAAGCTACTCTGGGAGAGTAAAAGAATAAAAATATGGAGCCAGAAATGAGCAGAATAGGTCCCCTTTAATGGATCAGGGTTGTTTTTATTTTGTACTTATGACATTATAAAGACATCTTAAAAGACCAAAACCAACAATTTGTTATAGCCTGAGGATTAAGCCAGCAGACTGCACTATACACATTGATGTTAACAATCATAGAAAAGCTTTTCACATTTGGACTTCATGTTTTTTCGTAAAGTACCCACAGATTACTGAACACCGTGTACTTTAATGGCAATGTGAACAGCACAGTTAGACCTGTCGCTCACACATTTTTATCACTGATACCTAATCCAGAGTAAACAGGGGCGTGAAGCGCTTTAATGCCCTTCCGTGTCAGTGAAACTAAGCGAAAGCTGCACAGCAGAGTGTCGTGACACTTTTATGGTTTAAGGCAGATAATTTCAGGGGTGTGAATACTTTTAAACATGACTGGTGCTAAATAAAAAAAGGCTGTAGCTCTGAATGTGAGTTTGTGGTGACCTGTAGAAGGTGTACTTTGATAAGTGATTAAGAAAATAAATGAATGGATGAAAATTTAAACAACACCTCAGTTTAATGCGTTATTGGTTTGCGCACGCAACTGTTTTATCAGTTGCCACTTTAGCTATATTTCAGCTGTATTGAAAAACTCCATCTATTCTCCTTCACTTATTCACTGGAAACTATCACAGGAAAGGCAGGAAGTCAGGATATTTCCACAGCATGTGAAGTTTAAGAATTTTTGAAATTTATGTGCAGTTATTCAGTTTACATGATGTGCAGTGCCTGACATGGTGTTCATGTGTCCTGCTGTAACTCCAGCCTTTCATTCATCTAAATCATTTTAAGGTTAGACCTTTGTTGGTGTTGGCTGTGCGCCAAAATAACTCTTGAGAAGCCGCACCTGTTGGTCAGTGCTCACCTGATTTATGTCTGTACAGCACAAAAACACTGATAAACACACAGTTCCCAATATTAAAGCCTCTGCCTTATTAAATTTAAGTTCAATGCATCCCGTACTCAGTCTCGTGTTTGATAACAACTGATTACTTACTGCAGCATCACATGCCGGCATTGCCAACCTGGAGAACAGCCATACCGATTATGTTCAGCTTGTTTAAAAGCTAATTACCAGGAGCGGTCTGAGCGAAACTCAAAATTTATATCTTTTAAAATAAACCACAACTATACTTTACAAGTCCGGTTTTGTTCGTAGAAAGCGCCGAATCACTGCTGTCGTTTTTTTTTCTTTTCTTTTTAATGAAATGTTTGTTTGTTTTTTAGCGGGAGTAAGTACCGTATTTGTTTGGGTCTATTTTCAGCTGCGGATGAATACATACTCGTGGCAATGAATGAACTGTGAAACAGTGGAGCTATATCAGACTTGTAGCATGAATTTATTGTTGCTTTTATTCTTGTTAGTGGTTGGTTCGTTTCAGGAATGATAAAGATGAAAAGGAAAGCAGACTGATAGCCCTGTGAGGTCTAAGTCATCATCGATGGTGAGAAATGACCCAGATTCTGCATTTCAGGAATAAACAGGAGCTTTGTGTTTAGAGGTGCTTAGACCTCAGAGGGAATTTTAACAAGGTGTAGTAAACGATATATTACTTTATTATTTTTGGCTTCTTTAAAGAAGAATCATACATTTTCTTCCCACCTTGCTGAGCTGTTTGGTTCACTCAACATGGACCTAGAAAATTGTTGCCTGCACTTCAGAGTCATATATAGCAATTTAACATGTACTGTAATAGCAGTGAATTAATGATGTTTTTCTTTTCTTGTGCTTGCTTTTCATTCCTCAATGCAACAGTGCCTTTTTACATAGCTGCCGTGTTTCGTAAAAATTACCCACACTGATAATTTCACGTGCTTTCAGAAACAAAGAAGCAGATGGTTTCGCTTTTCATGTCAGACATTTGAAACATTTCTTCGAAGGAATATTTCAAAGGCGCTGATCACAGCTCACACTACAAGTACAAGCTATTATAACAGAGTATTGAATACACTTTTCAGGTATAAACTGTATTGCAGTAAACAAAGATGTAAGCACCAACAGAGGATTTTAGTAATTTTTAGATGCTTGTCTTGCTTTAATTCAAATAACTTTATTATAAATTCTTTATTTATATATTATGATTCTGGAAAATAAATGTTTGAATATCAGAGATGTCTCTTGGGATTTTTTTTAATTTTTTAATTTTATGTATTTTTACGTGCCTCGGTTATTATTGGAGAATAAAACACAGCCTCTCAGACTGAGAACTAATGTTCTTCTTATTTTTTATTAGTACACATAATATTGGTGCGTATTTATTTGAAGTATACTGAAAAAGGTTTGAGAGGGATTTAAGCTCCTGAAGCCCAGCAGTTGTTGGT